AAAATACTAACTTAATGTTAATACGAAGTTAGCAAAACTGTGCATTTATACTATGCTCATTACTTTGCACTAGCTTTGCAGCTGTAGTGCAAGTCGCTCCCATGCTCTGCATTCACCGTGGAAAAAATAACTAAGTAGTGCTTCACAGGCATCTAGGATTAAAATGTCCACGTAAGCAATTGCTGAAGGCCTAATAGCATGTCATAAACTCCATTTGAGCTTTACACTAATCTCCACCATAGCCAATAGACAGCAACTTAAAACGTCTACAACCCAGCTCAGTTAACTGAATCAGTTGAATTAAAGCCTAGGTAAAATTTGTTTTTTAAATGTTTACTAAATTGAAGCTTTGATGCTGTACAATTCTGGTAACAGGCAATGCCAGCAGCAATAATGAGCTTGTAAGGAATCCAGAGTAAACTGCTTTGATTACACTCCAAGCAGTAAACATAATGGTTTGTCAAAAGTTTTGTTGTCTCTGAAATACTCACAATGCTTTCAGCGGGAACAGCATACCTAAATAAATCATTACTTTTTTAAGACTTTAAGATACAAACTTGGCTAATGCTCCAGAATCAGAGCTCCCAGATCAGGCAAGGATCACCAGCACATTGACAAATACACATTTTTCTGAAATTCTCCCCCTTATTGGTATTGATAATTTTGCCATAATAGTTGTTATAAGTCACTCTATACTACTTGAAAGTCTTCCCTGAGAGACAAATTTCAAAATGATTTTTAAAAATATACGTATCTTGAATTAATGTCTACATTTGCTATTTAAACTTCCTGATGACTGCAGTAACCAGGAACCTTAAGATCACTTTTTTTTCCACACTGGTAAATAAAGCAAAATAGGTTTCACTAGTTCCAAAAAGATACAGACCAAACATTAATTTATTGGGATTACTATTCAATTGCTGCCCAAATTTGGAGTTTCTGACACTGCTGAAGGAACAAAAAGGAGCAAAGACAACACATCTGACCTTTCTGAATCTTGTTATCTGTGGAAGAATCATTTAATTAAAAGAACTTACACTGTTATTCCCAGTATCTAAAAGGATGAGTGGGACAAGGAAAATGTGCAAGAGCCAGTGATGGCTGATCCACAGCAATTGTGGACAGGGAATATTCTCAATTACTTCTGTAGGAAGAGTGGACAGATTGCAGGCGCCAATTTTACAATACTTAGCAAATGCAGATTTCTTAACCCCTCCTACAGTTCTAGTTTATTGGGTGAATAGTAAGTGAAAAAAGTATTTTTACAGATGAGAAGCATGTTTATAGACTTTGCTTTTTTCACAGAATAAATTCTAGATGTTTATGCTGGAAGAGCTAGAATAAAATGTCTAAGTGGCTGATTTCTCTTTCTCAGATTTTCACTGTCTGCTCACATGGGTTAGGACACAAGAGTTGGAAAGAAAATCATGTTCAAGCTAATTCTGACTGTGCAAGATGGCTCAAACTAGGAGAGGACCAATTAATATTTCTTTATTATAGTGAAGAGATGATCCAGCACCTCCCTCACACTAAGTAATAGCACAGCATATGTAGTAATTGCCATCTGCAGATAATTGTTTTATTGGATGGTTATGCAGCCAGCAAGGATCTTGGCTTTCCATTGTTGTCTGTATTACAATACAATTCTTGTTTTTCTCTTTATTCAGTTTTAAGAAAATTGCAAAAATAAGAACAATAATTTAATAAACTACCAACAACCGCTAACAATAAGATCAGAACAAATTATTGAAAGAAAGCTAAATTTAGCTTTTGTTTGGACAATGCAGTACAGCTGTCTTCTTTTTTGGCTCTCAAAGTGAGTTTCTGGGTAAAATACGTAGTGAGCAAAATCTAATACAGGCACAAACATATACAGTCAGTTTTGTACAAATGAGAAGAGAGCAGTATAGAAATGGAAAAACATTCATGACTAGCTACAACTATACAGACTTTATCTTTACATACAGTGTGTATTATCCTGACAATGTCAGAAAAAAATCTTGGAAGAATATGAGATCATACTTCCTAGAAGCTGCTGCTTCTGGAGCAAACCAATTTTTTTTATAGAAGGTAAGCATATTAAGTAAACGAACTCAATGATATATCACAAATCTGGGATAATAGAAATATATTATTTGTGGAATAAGTACATTCCACAAATACGGAATTTACATAGATTCCAGTATCAATTTAACATCTACTTGGAAATGGACATTTTCTGACATGTCATAAACAAATTTTCCAACGAACACAAACCAGCAGTTTATCTCAAATGGAAAACAGATTCACGTGAAGTGGGCAGCAAAGGTTTTGATAAACACTGCAAGACAAATGTATCTTCCAACCGAGTTCAACTTGAAATCTGCTATTTAGACCTAATAAATTTCAGAAAATAGTTCACAGAATGTATTAAATTCTGAACACAAGTCTGCCTGTTTATTGAAGGTCCTGACATTTCTCTCTCTCTTCATCGAAGTTTTACATTTAAGTGATTTTTCTTATAATTTAAATTTTAAAATGTGCAACTCAACATTTTAACACTGAACAAGAGTAGAAAAATAATAAATAGAACTTCAGATATTGTGTTCTTTTTAAAATAAATCTGAAGTAGATTAAGAAAGAATTCGGTGATAAAGTTCACTGGACAAGCTATTTAGGTAACAGTTAAAGAAAAGCCCTTTTAAGGAAGTCCACAGACAAGTTTAAAAAACTCACAAAGTATTATTGTTTGAAAGAAATTGTCTGGACAAGAAAACCAGTGCATTAAACTCTTTCAGTCTCTGCATATTAAGACTTCAGATAACAGAAATCAGCCACCAGAGGGAGCCCATATAATCCTGTATAAGGGACATCGTTGCACAGTGAGAAATTACATATATGCTGATGAGAATTTAAGACAGCAATTGTCAGAAAAAAAGATCGTAAATTGTTCATAATTCACACAATAAAACAGCCACTTATGGTACTTCCTCTTGGATTCATATTTATACTTGTATCTGTAGAAATAAGAAAGTGAACTCTGCTATAAGGTATTATAATTACAATATACTCAAATAAACTAAAATATTTTGTTATGCATAACATTTATTCTAATATTCAGTATCTCAGAATGTGTTCCACCAACTAATTCAGTACACTGGCTTCAAAATAATACTGGATAGAGAATGCTTACATACTACTGAAGACTATTAAATTATTCCTTTCATCAGTACTCAGGACTAGAATCATAAAAGCAACTGACATAAGACTTTTTTTTCTACATTTTTGTTGTACTCTGAGTCTTTATCATTTTTATACAGTGAATACTTTGAAAAGGCTTCTCCTTTTCCAGAGCAACACATCAGGGAAAGACTTACAGCATTTGCACCATGGGTTAAAATACCCTTCTACCAAGAAAGCACTGACTTGTGGAAAAGCATGTTTTGAACTAAGAAAAAGCTTTCCCTTCCCCACTGGAGGAGGGTTTCTGTTTCATTCTCTGAGTTATATGACTACAATTTAGAGCAATAGTGGCTTGTGTTTCTAGTCTCCTATTTTTAATATCTCATAGCTTCTTGTGAATTTAGATTCTTTAGATAATATTTTTCCCCTGCATCAAAATTGGTATAAATGACATAATTTCACTCTGTAAAAATAAATAAATAAATAAATAAAATTCAAGGTGCATACAAATGTTTCCTCACTGAAAATACACTCCCTCCTTAAAATACTGACAGAAAAAAAAATGAAATTTGCCATGGTAAATGCTTATATTTGACTCAGGAGAATCCAAACGGCATTTGACGAACTCTGTAAAGCAGCAAATAAGCCACACAGTGTGTGCAACTTCTCCCACTAAATTAAAAAATGAAGTTTTACCTTGCCTATGATTATTACGTTGTCCTACAGAAAAACACACTAACAATGTGTATAATCTGAAATGCACGGTGCTCTGGAATACATTAGCACACGTCTTTATAACCCAGGGCGTCATGATCCTGAATGCAAGACAGAGGTCCCTAGCCACAACATCACCACAGCTCATCAAACAGGCTTCAATACTAAACATTCACCTTTATCTTAACCTCAGTCCAACTGAACACGAACTCCCGAAGCACGTGCTTTTTCTTTCTTATTCTTTATCTAAAAGTTACAAGACCCACCGGAAACATTTGAGAATTGATGCACACACAGTTTTAGCTCAGCCCGCTGGGGAATCAGCATCACAGAGTGAATATGAAACAACGTTATATCTGATCACCATGTTGAACAATTCGTAAAAATGCTCAAAGTATACACTGCTGTGCACATCCCTGCTCTGAAAAAAACTCAAGATGCTGGACAGGACTCACAGCACAACAAGACTGAATTCCTGTGCTCACACAACTAGTGACCATGTCTGAATACTAAACAGAACTCAGTGTTTCTCCTATAACGTTAGAAGCACAGTCTGAAGAGATTGTCTTTTTTTGCCAGCTGAGAAAAATCTTATACAACACATCCAACAAGTAATATTTTCAGAAAGTACTACTCACTCTGATACTAGGTAAAGAAACAAATCACCAAAATATAATCTATTAAAAAGCATGATTTTATAAGCTAAACAAAGAAACCGGAACAACTGTTATAAAGTTTCATAACCAGCTTCACACACATCTGTTCTGAATCTATCAATAAATTTGGATCACATTTTGGAAATAAAACTTATGCAGAAGCATACAGCACAAAGAAGTTTGTATCAAGGAATAGTGTAGTTTAAAAGTTTCCTCAAAGAAGCTTCACTGAGAGACTCAGAGCTACAAATTGCCATGCTTTATGAACATAAGCCCTACAAATGCATAATAATGTGCTATCAAATTTCTCCGGAACATTTAACATCAAAGAGAATCAATTCTGAGAATTCAAAATCTAAGAACCTTACAGCAATAACACTTTACAAATAGGGTTTGACTTTCTGTTATGGGTGGAAATCTACAGCTTTTAAATTAATATTTCCTTCCCTGTTATATTTAACCCCTTACCTGGTCTTTCCTTGCCAGTTCCTTTTGACTCAGCAAATTTCTGTATTAAACTCTCAACTGTAGTATTTGTCATGTTATTTATAAATTCTTCATGTACCTTAAAAAAAAGCAAAAACAACAGAACCCCACACAATGGGAGTTTTAATTAGATTATTTTAATTGCTATATTTTTTTACTTTAAGTAGTGTTTAGTTTTAACAGTAGTTCTAATGTCATAATATTTTCCTATAAAATACAATACAAGAGCTTCCAGAAATTAACAGGCATTTTATCAAGGAAATCGCTTTCTTGTTTTAGGAGTTCCAAATTTGTGTATAATACAGACACCAACAGGGAATGAAAGAACATAGCTAGATGGCAGGTATAGGATTTACTCCTACCTCTTCTATCTTAGCTACTTTCCCACATACCATTTTCTGAGTTTGTCAACAACATGTTCCATACAATGTCAGGAAGACAAGATGTCCCTTAAGCCAGCACCAGTTGAGGGTGTGACCAGTTACTGCTGTATTATCACACGTCCCACCTGCTTCAGTAAAAGCACTACTGTTTTAATGTTTTTGGTCTGGCAAAGGAACAACCACATGCTGTTAGTAAGTTTTCAAACAAGGCAGTTACATATTTGCCTTAGAAATAAATAGCATGACCCTTGTGACTACCATTCATGAGCAGAAAATCTGAATACTGAAAAAAAAACAGCAACTCAAATGAAGAGCACTCAAATAAACTTGCACTGCAATGCATAAGAACGTAGATTTTTTAATAAGGATTATTAAACAAATTTGCATCTAAAGAAAACATACTAAAAAGCTTCTTTTAAAACCAAAAGCCTTTTGCACACCTAGCTGTATAAAACATTTTGGAGCTCCTGACTGATACAATTTCAAGTTCTAGGTAAAGAAAATGTGAAATGATTGCTGATTTAGTATCTAGTGAACAAGACTTAGAAATACACTAAACATTCTTCAAATAATCAAAATCTACTCTGTTTTGTTAGCATAAAGCTCAATCAATGATTTATCATTCAGCCTAGGAAGGTTTTGCAGAAATATGTGATCCCAAACTTATTCATGAAGCAGAAAGCCGTAACATTTTTGGTTCATGCTGAATTTAGATACAAAATAGATTTCCAGTACAATAAACAAAATCAGAGGTGATCCACTCAGTAAGAAATTTCAGAAATGCTTCAATAAGAAAATACACATATCTCAAAATATCTCAAAGGCTATTTGTCAGACATTCAAATTTCCCTCAAACAGCTGAAAAATGAGTTCAGCACACATTCAGCATTTTATATATTGGGTAAAAAGAACCAAAACTGCTTGAAAGTATTTTAAATCCTCTGCTTCATTATTATTAATCTTTGTATGATTTAAAAGGTTACTGCTGTTTTAAAGATGTGATCCACAACGCAGTAAGAAATGTTCTGCTCAGTAGTTAGGAAAAAATAATAGCTTATGCCAAATAAACAAATAATAACACAAAAATTACCTCTCCTATTTGTAAATGAATATCCTTTATGGTATTTGAAAATGATTCTATAATCTCTTTCATATGAAGTAGATGTGTTTCTTCAATATCTTGAAACTTCTGTAAACCAATACAAGTCATTATTGATAATAAAATATTTCTTGAAATGTTAAGCCTTAAACTGCAATAATTAAATATTCTAAACAGAAACAAACAAACAATTTTTTCAGATCATTACCACAATTATTATGATGTTTAACAAAAAAAGATGCAAAATCCAAAGAATAGTAAAATAAAGTGTTTCTTAATATACCCTTTTAGAACCATTACCAAGCTTTTCCACTGTCTTTTTAAACTTTCAGCTATCTTGGTCTTTCAAAAAATCTGACCTATTTTTACTAAAAAGAAATAGGATTGAAGGTAGTTTTAAAAAACGTATTTTCTCTGTTATTTGCATTACTGAAAAGTTTCATCTGCTTTTTCATCTGATTCCAGAGATTCTATTTCCAGATTGTTTTGCACCTCCTCAGCACCCTCACTCTCCTCCTAGTCACAACAGATATGTTTCTTATTTTTTCCTTCAGCAAAATTTAACACCTTTGCTTCAACTTTGCTTCATTCATTTGATCTTTAAATTGACTACATGTAACTTCTGCAGTTTGTCTGCAATTTTTTCTACTGTTCCACCATATCCAGACTTCTATCTGATACCCATTTTAAAAGCACTTCAAACATTTTCTTTTCTGGGGACTATCAAAAAGGACTATCAAAAAGGGACTGGGGCTGTTAGTGGAAAGAGTTGATGCACAGGTCATACTTCTATCCCTCCAGTAGCAGGAAGCAATACCACGAGGAGCAGGAAAACCTTTCTCATAAATATGTGGCTGAGATGCTAGTGCAATCACAAGAATCTTGTGATTATGATTGAGTGACCCATCTGGTAGATGAGGAAAAGTCTGCTGCTGTAGTCTACCTAGACTTTAATAAAGCCTTTGACACTGTCACCCACAGTGTTCTCCTGGAGAAGCTGGCAGCCTGTGGCTTGGACAGGTACACTGTTTGCTGGGTAAAGAACTGGCTTGTGAGCCAGGCCCAGAGAGTGGTGGTGGATGGAGTTAAATGTAGCTGGTGACTGGTCATGAGTAGCTTTCACCAGGGGCAGGTAATGGGGCCTGTCTTGTTCAGTGTCTTTACTGATGAACGAGGACATTGAGTGCACCCTCAGTAAGTTTGCAGATGACTGAGCTGGGAAGGAGTGTCCATCTGTCTGAGGACAGGACGGTACATCAAGGGGATCTGGGGTGAAGCTCAGCAAGGATCCTGCACTTTGGGAACAACAACCCCAGGCAGTGCAACAGGCTTCAGGCAGAGTGGCTGGAAGACTGTGTAAAAGAAGTGGATCTGGGGGTGCTGGTCAACACTTGGCTGAACATGAGCCAGCAGCATGCCCAGGTGGCCAACAAGGCCAATGGCATCCCGGCTTGTATCAGAAATAGTGATGCCAGCAGGAGCAGGGAAGTAATTGTCCCTCTATACGCAGCTCGGGTGAAGCCGCACCTCAAAACTGGGCTCAGTTTTGAGCCCCTCACTGCAAGAAAGACATCGAGGCCCTGGAGTGTGTTCAGAGAAGGGCAACAAAGCTGGTGAGGAGTCTGGAGCACAGATCTTGTGAGGAGCGGCTGGGGGAGCCGGGATGGTTTAGTTTGGAGGAGGCTCACAGGAGGTCTTATTCCTATCTACAACTACATGAGAGAGGCTGTGGCGAGGTGGGGGTTGGTCTGTTCTCCTATGTAACTAGCAATAGGACTAGAGGAAATGGCCTCAAGTTGCACCAGGGGAGATTCAGGCTAAACATTGAGAAAAAGCTCTGAAAGAGTGGTTAGGCACCAGAACCATAGAAACATTAAGGGTTAGAAGGGGTCTTTAAAGGTGATCTAGTCCAACTCCCCTGCAATGAACAGGGACGTGCACAACTAAATCAGGTAGCCCAGGGCCTTATACAGCCTTGCCTTCAAAGTCTACAGGGACCGGGCATCAAACACATCTCCAGGCACCTTGTTCCAGTGCCTCACCACCCTCACAGTAAAAGGCATTTTCCTTCTATCCAACCTTATTCTACTCTCTTTGAGCTTGAGGCTATTCCCCCTTGTTTTCTTCACAACAGATCCTGCTGAAAAAGTCTGTCCCTTACTTTCCTGTAGCTCCCTTTCAGATATTGAAATGCTGCTATCAGGTCACCTCAGAGCCTTCTAAAGTCCAGGCTGAACAGCCCCAGCTCTTTCAGCCTACCCTCAAAGGAGAAGTGTTCCACCCCTTGGATCATTTTTGTGGCACTCCTCTGGATGCACTCCAAAAGGCCCATCTACCTCCAGTATTGATGTGGTGGAGTCACCATCCCTGGAGATGCTCAAGAAACATTCAGATGTTGTACTGAAGAACATGGTTTAGTAGAAAATATTGGTGATAGGTGGACAGTTGGACTGGATGACCTTGGAGGTCTTTTCCAAGGTTGGTGATTCTATGATTCCGTGATCTCCAACAGCCCACTCGAAGCTACAGCTCAAGAAGAAAAATGTTCAAATCCTCCATAACAGTGAACCATATTGACCTTTTCATCTTTCTTCACTCCTGATCTCTATTCTACTGACTTCCTTCCTATTTCCACAATTGTCTTTTCAAGCACACCCTAACTTTGAGCACCTTTAATTCCTCTCTTCAATTTCACAGGGTTCTCTGAAGATTCTCTCTTTACATTTCCTACCTTCTTGTACTCTGATTCACAAATGTAAGCATAATTCAAAACAGATAAATTACATATCTCTACCTTCTAAACACTCAGTTTTTCTTTTGCCACACATATATGCCTCTCTAGCCATCAATGAGGCAGATTAAAATAGTATTTTTTTTTCCAGCAGCTTCCTTTCTGGATTACAGAAAATATGGTCATTCTCTGTAGCCCATTTTATGATGCCTCTACTTTTACTGATTGCCTAACTAGACCAACTGAATTGATTTGCTTTCCAAGCTATCCATGGCCCATGTCTATAATATCTATCCTCAGTCATGATCAGGGCATCAGTACTTGAATATAAAGTGATTTTCAGCCTGCTTCTATACCAAATACTTACCTAAACTCAAAGTGAATTCTTGAGATTACGTCAATGCTGCTTCCTTCATGTTTGTTTAGAGATCCACATGATACTCAGAAAAACTGACTACAAATCTCCTTTAAACATTTCTCTATGATGCATATCAAAACAACTGGCCATTCAAAGACTTTTGCCTTTTACGTCAGCGGGCAGCACTATCTCCTTCCTGCTCCCCAACCTCACACAGTTCCCTTCTTTTTTATTTACTACTTAATGCTCAATAATTAAAGCCTTTGAAGGAGAAGGCATCTTAGCCTTGTAATTACTTGAAACAAATGTTCTGATCAAGGACTATCTCAACACTGTAATATGACTATAATTCATATCACAGGAAGAATCATTAACAGTCACTAATCAAATTGTATATTTGCACTTTTGAAAGAACAGTCTGTTTTGAAAGGATATAGTGAAACATATCTGTAATGCTAAGACTCAAGTGAAAGGCACTTATGCCACAAGAAAAATGGAAAAATCTTTGACAGTATCTGTAGTTGTCCAATTCAGCACACACAGTTTTCCTAAGTTGCAAACATTACTTTTCTTTAAGTTTTAGAACATGAAGAATTAATACTTATTCTTGAACTCTATTTACATGCAGACTGCTCTGCACTAAAGTTGTTTAAACAATCAACTGTATTCAATTCTAGCTAAGACAGAAGGCTGTCAAGAAAAAATGATTTAGCAATTCCAGCTATTTTGATTGTTTCCAATAGACTATGCAGTGTGTTTAAATGTTTAAAAATGCAATGTTTAAAAAAAAGCTTCTAACAAGGTGGCAGGTGAGATGTCATTTTTTCTTTGCAATTGCAGAGCAATTGTTTAATACAACTAGTTTTACTCAGAAAAAAGATCTTTCAATGTGAAGAGTATCTGTAAAATCCAATTTCTAGACAAACCAAACTATATTCTTATCCCCCTGTAATCACAATACAATCTTCTACATTTATTCCAGCAAAAAAATACACCTTACAATTCAACTTCGCAAAATCATGCAGTACAAGTCATTTCACTTTTACACTTTTAACAGAAAAGATAATAAATGACACAAGGGAAAAATACATAAAGCTTACACAAGGAATTTAGTGGAAACTAACTAGGAGAACAAGACATCTAAGTGAGGACATTACTACCTGATTACCTAGAACAAAGCTATAGCAATACAAGATGCAAGTGCTTTCAGAATAATTTTATCTGAACTGGCTAGAACAATTTAAGTTAACCGATTTTGCACTGGAACAGCAGAGAACGAGTTATTTCTCATTTACTTTTTTCTAGATGGGGGGTTGCAGTGAACAATTCTGATGCATTTGATATCCTGTCTTTAACATCTGTATTGAATAACTATTCAGATACCAGTAAGACCAAATTCTAACAAAGTTTTCAAAGCAGCAAAATGCTTTGTAATTTAGAAGGACAGAGTTCTTGATATGTCAGGATACACATATCGTCTTACTGTAAAATCTTAATTTCTAAGAAGTTAAGGAAAATACTAACGCTTTTCTACTTCTACACTGATAATGCAAGTATGACCTAATTTCCCTCATAATTTCATCCATGCCTAAAAATTAAACTTTGAAACTAAGGAGAAGAAGAAAGAAACCAGTAAATATGTCAAATAAATATAACTAAGAGCAGTAATGGTAAGTTACCTTTTCTGAAATCTGTGACAGTGAAAAAATGTCTGCTATCAAGAGATTTGGAAAAGAAATTTTAACAAGCAGCTGCAAGAGCAAACATACAGAGACATCATCCTCTGTAATATAGTGAAACTCCTTAAAATTCAAGATATTTCTTTGATGTTTGAATGATGTAAGGGTTTTTGACCACCTCAGCTAAGCCCCTAAGGGAAAACACTTTATCAAGCAGTTACTGAAATGTTTTGTCAGTATGATAATGAGAACAACATGATGGGTCCCAATATTATAACTCCTATGAATGAATTCCTGCTCACCAGTAATTCAAAGGATTATCTGTGTGATTACAATGCATCTACAATAGTTTCAGAAGTTCACTGTCTTTTCTCACTAAAAAATTGTTCAGAAATTCTCTCTGGAGTGCTAGTATTCCAGTGAGTCATTCAAGAACACTTCCATCAAAATACACATTGTCACTGTTTGATTTTCAAACCTATTACTTCTGACAGTACAGTTTACACCAATTTTCAGAGGAGATCATTTTATTTTGAAACAATTCTTCAAAAGCTTTCATTTCAGACATCTTCAGAGAGATAAAACAGAACATATGAATCTATTTCAAAAGCACCTCATTTAATACAACACTTACTTGTGCAGTTTCTGTCATTTTTTGTTCAAAATCAGATTTAACTGCAGCATATTTCTCCACATACAGTTTATAGGTATCTGTAGCTTTCTTCGATTTAACTGTTGCCTATAGATTAGTACAAAAAATGTCAAATGTCACACACACAATTTAACCAAAGTTTTATAATGTCACTATTAAGTGAAATCCAAAGATGATCTAAGAAAACACTGAGATGTATTAAAACACTGAAGTATCATATTTTTGCCACAAAATAACGTAAGTTCAAGCTATTAGAGATTTCTGGTTTAAAACTTCTCATAAGTCATGTAGAAAGGCAACAGAACAACTGCCTAACTTAAATCCTTTCTCCCTATCATCTAAGACTAATATATAGTCTTATAATATACTTACTTTTAAATCGGTATTTCAAAGCATGTACTACTGAAATTAACTATTTACCTAATGTGCCAAATATATAGAAAAACAGGAAGAAAGCCAGGATAAAATTCAGAGTAAACAGTTACTAGTGCAGCTCTGAAAGTATCAAATGCTTTCAGTTTTGTTTATTTAAAAGATACAGTTCCCTGTTAGAGGTGAAAGAAGGAAAACAAGGAATGTAGAAAAATAATGAAAACAGATTAAGAGAAGATATTTCAACATGAAATTTATGTAGGATATACTGATAGGACAGACTCATGCAGCTCAGACTTGCTCAGACTTGTTTAAAGTAGTACTTTCTGAATTTATAAGGTACTGATTTTTTTTTTTTTCCCATCATTTGTTGGTAATTAACCAAATCTTGTCTGTGTACATTATTTTCTTAAAAGACAAAAGAAAATATAGGAGAATCCCAATATTACAGGAAAACAAAATGATTCTTTCTGGTAAAAGAAGAAGTTACTTTTAAAGTTTATTGTACAATACAGGATTAAGTCTTTTTGAACCTTTGAAATTGCATTTTCCAAGTTACAAGCCAAATATTATTCTCATCACGTTTTTGCTGGCTTCTTCTTTCAGAATACCTTTTTTCCACTGAAATTTCTCCCTAATTTTAACAATTCACAAATCACTTTCAGTTAATGACACCAGCAAAGACTGCATGTTTACTATGCTAGTTCTGAAATCTTCTTTGAAATGAATTTTATTGCTTCCAGAGTAAAAACAGCAACTACTACTCACTTGCAGTGAGTTGCAGAGCTGAGCACTAGCTATAATTTCCCAATGAATTAATACCAACATCTGCAAATTCCAATGAAAAATAACTGAAAATCGTAAATATAGCATTAGCATTTGTTCACCCGGGGAAACTTTAAAGTTTCTTTTTTAAAGTACTATGTAATTGAACTCCGGGATCTTGAGACAAGCAAAATATTCTCTGCCTCTGGTAATACTGTTTGTCTCTGAACAGAATCATGTGTGTTGTGTGCCTAAGAGCACCTACAGAAAACAATTATTCAGCAAGGCAGACAAAATGATGAAACACGTGAACATTTCATGGTTAGCTACTAATCTTTTCTGAAAATAGGATGTGTCAATTCTCAGGTACAGCAATTGCTAGAATTCTATTCAGAAGATTAACAGTAACTGAAAGAATAAGGATCAGTAAATAATTTTTTTGTCAAGTCACTATAAACAGAGAAGTTAACATGCCAGAGAACAACAGGAAGTTATTACACAAGCTACCACTACCAGTCGCAGCAAAATTGCAAGCTTTCACACTTCCTCAGATTCTTCAATAAAGTATCTCTCTAAATTTTAAGCTTTAATGATAAGCTCTTGACATACTGGCACAGATTCCCTGCTTTGTGATAAAGTGACTATTGTATCATTTTGATAAAAACATCTTTCATGCACTGCTAACCATAATAAAACTATTTTCTACCAAAAGAAAAATAAACTAAAGCAATCCTTATCATGTTATTGAAACTACAAGAGTAAATTTGAATAACGATGTGACAGAAACGATGTGATAGTCACAGTTGCAGGTTCCTAAGAGAAACTGTTTTTGAAGCATTATCTGTTATCAACCATGCCCTAATTGTTTGGGGAAAAAAAAAAAGTACTCATGGAAGATGTACAAAGCAGAAGAAAATTGCCTTCATCCTACGATGTTTCCTCTTTCTTTCTTCTGCAGCTAAACAGACATTAGTAAGACAAGGTTGTTTTTTGTTTTTGCTTTTTTTTTTTTTTTTAGTTTTTTTTGTTTCTGACTGGACAAAGGATTGCACTGTTAGATGTCAAGAGCAAGCCTTCTATCAAGTCAACTTTTCCTACTGAAAAATTTCAATTTATTTGCAAGAGCATGCATTTTCAAAAGACTGCAAGAAAACATCAGCGGTCTCACACAATGCTTATTCATATCTGGAGTCCAGCACTGATTGCCATTCAAAACACAAACCAGGAGAAAAAATAGGTTTATATTAGACATGAAAACTATCAGAACATGGTCAACAGGATAATTTTTGTCATCAGTGAACCAACATTATCTGCTCCTCCAAAATAGCAGAAAACTTTCTTCTATTACTACCTTGTCTCCTTAAAACAGCAGAAAGTTTCATTGTTCCTTGCAGGTGCTCCCTACCCTCTACTCGGCAATGGTAAGGCTGAATCTGAAATGCTATGTTCAGTGCTGGGCCTTTCAGTGCAAGACATACTGGAGCTAAGGGATCCTTCCAACCTCAGTCATTCTGTTGCCCTACGATAGGATGAGATAGATGCGGCTCCTCAGCCTACAGAAGAGAAAGCTCGAGGGGATGGGATCTCAACAGGGTATATAAAGGTAGGATGCAAAGCAGACTGAGCAAGGCTCATTTCAGTGGTGCCCAGCCGCAGGGCAAGAAGCAATAGGCACAAACAGCAACACAGAAAACACTTCTACACTGTGTGAGCGACAGACTACCAGCACAGGTTGCTCAGAGAGATTGTAGAACCCTCTCCTTGGAGATCTTCAAAAGTCATCCGGACATGGTCCTGGGCTACTGGGTCCAGGTGTCCCTGCTTGAACAGGAGGGTTGGATCAGATGACTTCAGAGGTCTCTTTGAACCTTAACTTTGAACCTTAATACTCAGTGAGTCTGTGAGTGGATCAAACTCTCCCATGACACAAGGACAGAACTAAAAAAAGCATCAGGATATTCATCCTGAGAGGTTTTGGTCCATGTAACTTAAATTAATTCCGAAAGTAACGTTAGCTTGTTTTTTCTATTCAGTGGAACAGACTTCAAATACTTCTATAATTAGCTACTTTGTCTCAGCTGAAAGGACACAAAGGTTCCTACTCCTCAATTCAAAAACAAGTACAGTCATTGAGTGTTGGCATGTTTGTCTAAGAAAATGAGTCCAAGAATGTAATAGATGATGGAACAACTATACACAATTCCTGTAAAGAATACTAAGAAAAATTATTATATGATGCAGGTAATCATAGAATAAAGAATTAGAACTGCAGTGAAGTTAGAACAGATAAGGAAGCGTAAACAAAACATAAAAAGGCATTCAAAGTACTCATATTATAAAATAATCATAGTTTACCTATTTTTAACCCTTTCAGAGCATTTTACTTGCTAATATAACATGAATATATTAGATTGACAACATAATGAATTTTGAGAAAGATGTCACAGAACTACCTTATCAATTTCTCTTGGTGTTGCTCCTTCCTTTTTCAAACGTTCTTGTTCAAGACATTTTGCATTGTAGTTTTCCTTTGATTTCTGTAATGCCTGAGTTATACTTTGAATGTTTTGCACTGCTTCCAATGTTCCTGAAACTTCTTCCTTAGTCTGCCAAATATTACACAGTTGTCAAAAACAAATAATTTGAATTTCAATGCTTGTAAGTCTTTGGATATGCTTAAGAAAAAAAAATATCAATCACCTTTTTATAAGCTTTAATTTGTTCATCTCCATACTTGTGAACTTCTTTTATTAGCTCTTGTAATCTTCGGACAAGATCCAAGTGGCAGCTTGCTAGTTTTTCTGTTGAGGTTTTGAAAACATCCCAAACTGGTGCAAATGTTCTGGGTTGAAGAAAAAAAACCTAATGTTCATTGGGATTTTTCCTTTAAATCAGCTAGACTTTTCTTAATAGTGCTAAAGCATAATGAATATAACCAAAAAAAAACCAAACACAAATACAACAATTGCCATAAACTATGTATTTTTGAAATCTTGCAGGTGTACAGTAGGTCACTCAGAAAGTAACACCTCCTATTTATTTCCATGGAAACTACAACAGATACAAGGAGCACAATAACATCTTTTGAGAGGGTAAAGTACAAAACACTCTTTTTCAACACAGTTACCAGTTAGTTATGCATTTTTACCAGTGATAACAAAAGCCTGAATGCCACACTTGCAAAAATCTGTACCAGCAGAGGTGACCCACTGTCACTACTGCTGAAACACACCAGTCATCACCTCACTGTGCTCACATCCACTGTTTGATCTCTATAAATGTTCAGTAAGTATTGATGAACATCAACAGGTTGCCCCTGTGCTGCCATCTGTCACACAGCAAAAGAATCTAAGAATATAGGTGGGAAAGTTCAACCCTCTACTGCCATACCACCAACATCCACCCCAATGTCATGGACCAGCATGATAAAATAGGAAGTATTAATTTTGGAGCACCCTTCATAGTATCTAATAACTTCAGTACTTTCTGTTTTTTACTCATTACAGTCAATAAAAGTAAGATGTAAAAGTTGGTTCACTTCTCAGTCATCAACACATCAGAATGATAAATGATATTCCTAAAGATGATGCAAGACCAGCTCAAAAATTTAACATGTATAAGCATTTTTAAATGCATACTGTAATGGTGCAAAGAAACTTGACATTATCTGACTAGCAACATTTCTGATTATTCTAAATTATTATAGCTGCAAGAGGCAGGAAAAAATGTATTGGCAAAGATGATCTGCCACTGGAAGAGATCTACTGATCAAGAGAGAATAACCACATGTTAAAGGAAAATGGAGGAAAGGTCATTCCCCAAGTTAAGATTTCTTGAATTGATTTATTGAGCTGATCTGAAGATGCACTCCTACCTATTTTCTGACTAAAGCTGCTGCAAAATTGTTACCATTTTATAGCCTCTAAGACAATGATGTTCCTATTCAAATGCAGACAGAGAACCTTCAAAAAGCAGCAACAAATCAAACTATTTTCTAACTCCATATTCTAGCTCTGATTACTACAAATAAAAAGAAACTTCCTCTCATCTAGAAAGTCTGAGCTATTGCTCATATTTCTAACAACAACAACCTTCTCATACATTATTCATTTTATTCTTTTATAAAACATAACTCAAATATAACATTTTATCTCCTCAAAATTATTAGGTTTAGAAGCTAATAAACTAAGTTAAGTTCTTTACTATGTCTGAAAAGAAGTTAACCTTGAAACCCTGAACACAGAGGAGCAAACAGCCTCTCTATGATTGGTTATGGCTTTTTAAACATTTTTTTTCCTCAGTGAATAAAGAAGTGTACTGTGTTCTGTTCTTGTCACAGCTGTACAATATGTTGCATGGCTGCAGAGTAGTTGAAGGATTAACAATGATTTTTAAAGGTGACAAAGTTATGCTGCCTTCAACATCATCAACAAAATATTCAGAATCAAAATGGCTTCTTACCACGTACACAGTTAATTATTTGTCTTTCATATATACTTACTTACCCTAGTTGTGTGTAATTGCTTGCTGATTTAGCAAGTTTTGTCATTGATCTTGAATATGCTTCCTCTATTGTAGCCCTGTCAAAGAAAATGATCAAAAGGATAATTTAAATTCTGAAGGTATCTGAAGACAGACTAACACGGATCAATTTCCTCCTTTACTGGCGCAATTGCCATGGAGTGTAGCCACACAACACATAATAGCAGTGACTCCTTTCAAGTCTTCCTCCCATCAGCTTTCCTCACCATACTATTAACTAAGGTTAACATACACACTGTTTAAATTTCCCATCCAAAATCCATATTCAATGATTATGAATATATGAAACAAAGTAGTAATAGTCACCTGAAACTCTGAAGGATGTATTTAAATCTACTGAACTTTAAAATGACAAGCTGAACAGTTAGGCAACAATCCTGAGGTTGTAAAATGCAGCAACTCAACTATATTTTAAATCTCAGTCACAAATAACTACAAATGTATCCACTATATGAAGTTAAACATTTCCTCCTGTAAATAGATGTAAGTATTCTTGGTAAGATAGAGATCATCAACAGATCATCAACAACAGATGATCTGAAAACGTTGGTAAATTTCACTCACTGTAACAAGCAGTGATACAGACATGAACAAAGCACCGATGGTCTTTTAATTACCATAATGAACAATGTGTTGTGATAAACAACCAACAATAGCTCAGTGTTTTTACTTTTTTTTCTTTTCTTCAGAACAACTAGCAGAATACTTCAGCAAACAACCTTCACAAGCTGGGAGTTATGAAACTTGCTACGTGTTATCAGCACATAACAAATGCTAACAACCAAAAGATGCTACGGACTAATTGGGCACGTTTATCTTCAGCTGTTGTATCCACTGGCTTCCTTGAGCTCTCTCTCATAGTAACAGACTGTTTAATTTCCACTTGCTTAAAGATCTGTCTTTGCTTGGGATACGTAAAGCATTTAAACTGAAATGGGAATAGGTGCGTTGTCAATTTCTTCCAATGAAGGAGCTTCTTTTTACATTTACAGACAGCTGGTGCAGAAAAATGTTTGAAAGACTTCCGAAGAAAACTCAACACAACACCTGTTTACTTCTTAGTTGAACTTACATGTAAACATCTTAGGTACTAAATACAGACAAACACAGTTGATAATTTTGCCTACCAAATCTTCCCTGCATGTAAAGTCTGTATTTTTACATAAAAGAAAAGAAAACTGTGGGCCAACACGATCTTTATATGTTATCACTTCTTTAAAAGAAAAAAACACCTATGCACTTTATCAAGAATAGAGCAAAGATAATTATCTTTCAGCAGAAATATATCTTGCACCGTCCAAGATTTAGAAGCAGTGAGCAGATTGCCTGCCACACAGTTCACTCTGTCAGACATGCTTATGAACCACCTCAAAAGCAGTTACTGCTAATTACGTAAGTCTTTCCCAGTCACATTTTCAGAATATTTGGTCAAAAGGCAGTAAAGAATTGTCCAAAGACCCAACTGACCCTCAGGTCTTTAACAACTTTACTGTTAATAAATACTCTAAAGGAAAAATGAAACCATGAAACAACGGTGTTGAAAAGTGAGTTAGCATTGATAAACTAAACACAGCCTAGAAAAAATTATCTAACCCTAGCAAGCCTAGAGTTGCATTTGTAATGATGAGTGAAGTGCCCCCATGGATAAGGTCCGAGGGCCACACAGGTCTTAGTAGTTTCCAGTGTGTTTCACCAGATCTAGGAGCCAGCTAAAATGTGAAATATTTTGTTCCTAGGAACATACAGGGTTTTAACAGCAGGTACAGTAAATACACATTCTTTGAAATGAGCACATTTCAAACATATTTACAATAGTCAAGTACTTAAGTTATTACAAGTATCATCAGTAATTCACAATCTGTGAATTACCCAGGAATTTTCAGTTTTCATACTCCTGTCTCTCCACATTTCAATAAAACTGGCAAACATGTTCAAAAGGAGGGACAGAGTACAAGCGTATAAGTTCAGTTTTCATAGGGAAGAGCCCAGAAAATCAGGTGCAAGCAAGGCATAAAAACACTACATATAGGAGGCACCTAATGATTCTTGCTCATCTGTCTTCATATTTTTAGCAGAAAAGATAACAGCAAAGTAATATTGTATATTCTGCAGAGGAAGGGAGAAAATAGATAATTCTGTGCAAAATCTCTTAACTACTCTGCAACAAAGAAAGACACAGAATATAAGCATGGTAAGATTAGTAAGAAAAAAATGATTTTTAGTAAATTCAAAGGAAAAACATTTCTCATAAGTAGACTGAAGATGTCATAAATTACAGTTTCAGGAGCTCTAAACATTTAATATTAAGCATCAGTGGACAATGGAAGAGCAACTGACATCATCTACCTGGACTTGTGCAAAGCATTTGACATTGTCCTGCATGACATCTCGGTAGCTAAACTGAATGGATTTGATGAATATACCACTTGCTGGAAAAGGAATTGGCTGGATGGTCAAACTCAGAGGGTTGTGGTCAATGGCTCACAGTCCAAGTGAGACCGGTGACAAGTGATACTCCTCAAGGACTGGTACTGGCACTGCTACTATTTAATATCCTTTAGGTGACATTGAGTGCACCCTCAGCAAGTTTGCAGGTGACACCAGGCTGAATGGTACAACTGACAGACTAGAGAGAAGGGATGTCATCCAGAGAGACCTGGACAGGCTTGAAAGGTGGGCCCATGCCAACTTCATTAAGTTCAACAACATCAAGCGCAAGGTCCTGCACCTAGGTTGGGGCACTCCCGAGCACAAATCGAGTTTGGGTGGAAATGGCTTGAGAGAAGATCTGAGGAGAAGGATTTGGGGGTGTTGGTTGATGAAAGATGTAACACGAGCCAGAAGTGTGCTCCTACAGCCCAGAATGCATATTGTGTCCTGGGCTGCATCAAGAGAAGTGTGACCAGCAGGTCGACGGAGGTGATTCTGCCCATCTACTCTGCAGTAAGACCCCACCTGGAACACTGCATCCAGTTCTGGGGCCCACAACACAAGAAGGACATGGAGCTGTTGGAAAAGGTCCAGAGGAAGGCCACAAAGATCATTAGAAGGCTAGGGCACCTCCCCTACAAGGACAGACTGAGAGAGTCAGGGTTCTTCAGCCTGGAGAAGAGAAAGCTCTGGGAGACCTCATAGCAGCCTTCCAGTACCTGAAGGGGGCCTACAGGAAAGCTGGGGAGGGACTTTTCATAAGGGCATGCCGTAACAGGGCAAGGGGAAATGGCTTTAAAATGGAAGAGGGTAGGTATAGACCAGTTATCAGAAAGAAATTCTTTATCATGAGGGTAGTGAGACACTGGAACAGGTTGCCCAGTGAGACTGTAGATGCCCCCTCCCTGGAAGCATTCAAGAGCAACCAGGTCTATAAAGGTGTCCCTGCCTATAGCAGGGGATTGGAACTAGCTGATCTTAAAAGTCTGTTCCAACCTAGACCATTCTATGATGATTCTATGATTAGCACAGTTTGACATCTCTCTAAAGCAAGGCTGCACCACAACCCTGGCTTTATAATGTGTTTTCTGGATGAAGAGGTTCTCAACACACAAAATTCCTTTGGTTTGTACACAGCTTTGGACAGGAACTTGTTCATCACAAAGGGCCTCAGAAGTTCACTTGTTTCTACTTAGCAGAAAGATTTTTGTCATTTTCTCCACAAGTCATTGTGAAACTATGCAAATATCAATGTCGCTAAGTACCTGCCAGATGCACAGTGGTGATATTTTGTTGCGGTCACTTCAGGCAGAAATTGGAATTTTGATGACAAATTCCAGAAAACAAAGGATGTATTTTGGACAGCTCTTACTGCAAGAAACCTTTACTAAAAGAAGTTCTCAGCTAGCCTCTTACAAGATTTTTCCACATGTCATCTGGTGTCAGTAACTGAATAAGACAACATTCGGAACCAGACAGATCATCCAGAATGGAAATTTTTGTATCCTAAGTAGCAGCAGTTAATCTTCTTTGTAAAATAAGACTGAAAACAGCATTACCTCATCTGTTTAGGAAGTTGTCACACAGGCAGATTTCATTCCTGTCCCTTCTGTTCCATAAAGAAGATTCTGTCTTATTTTCTGCATATATTTTCTTATCCTAATATATCACATCTCCACTTTGGAAAAAAAAAAAAAAAAAAAAAGGAACAGGAAAGGAAAGGGGAAGGGGAATGGAATTTACTTTCTTAGCACCGTAATCCTAAAAGGACAATTTTTTTTAAGATCATACTGGCAATTGCTAAAACGCTGGTTCTAATATCCATGGTCAAAACCAACATGTAATGACAAAGTGAATTAAAAGCCACAAACCACATACTAAAGACCCAGAATCAACAAGGACAAATACCTACCTTTCTCTAATAAAGTCTGCTAATTCTTTTGTTGACAAATGTCCATGCTTCATGTTATGATAGAGAACGTCGAAGCCATTGTTCCTTTCCCCCTGAAGATTAATAAAAAGAAAGCAGAACCGTGAATCATAAAATGCTACAGCAATCACAGAAAGTAAGCATAGAATCTATGCATTTTAACAACTCAGCATGTTTCATTAACAGAATGATTTCTAACAGTTCAGCTTCTTACCAACTGTTAGTTCTTTTCAATCCCTTATGTGTAAAATGAACAAAATTAACCTCAGCAGCCACTACAACCTTTCTAATGACAACTCTTTTATCCAATATTTCTAGGCTATATTCAAAGCCATTTCTCAATTTCTAGAGGTCTTGTATTCTTTTGACTCCCACCTTATCAAACACATACTTAACACTGTGCACCCTCTTCATTCTCTCATATCTTTATTATTTCCCAAGAACTAGAATTCAGACTTTGGGATCACAAGGTATTCCACCTATTTAATTCTTCACACATCGTAAGTTTTTGTTTGTTTTGTAAAAATGAGTAAAAATAACACATTTCTTCAATTTTAAGGGTATCTTCTCTTTGCCTTAAGTTTAGTTTCAAAATTTAAATTATTTTCCACTCAATAAGACATATCTCACTGTTAAAACTGAGACACTGCCCTAAACACTGATTAATAAACTGAGCCAGCTTTTCACCTTTGGCACTAAGTGAACTTCCCCTGAGCAGGAGAAAGCAACAATAGGACTTAAAAGGAAGGTGAGGCAAGGCATGGTAAAATAGCACAGAAACTATAAGACTTTTCCTGTCAACTATCCATTCCCCTCCTCCCTCCCAAATGCCTCAGATCCATATCACTGCTGCTAAAAACACAGTAGTATGCCCTTGGGAATGCTGCATGCATGTTTAGAGTGAAAAGGAAAGAAGGACTGAAGTAAAATCCTGGACTTTTCTCAACAGAAGCTCTACATTTCCAGTAAGAGGAGCCCATGATCTGGTCATAAATCTCTCCCATCTTTTCTGTACTTTTTGTTCAGAAACAGAATTTGTTTGTATGGCCTTAAGGCACACTTGATCAGGGAAGTTATGCAGCTGAAAAATAAAGCTGGCAACTAAAAATAAAGGTCGCTGATGCAGATCATGAGGAGGATGTGATCAGCTGCACTGTCGCAGAAAAGGTAGGAATGAGGAGGCAGCAGTGGGGAGCAGGCAGCCTGAGCAAGTGGCAGCAGCCACAACCAGATGGAGGAGCCTTGCAGCAGCAGGCCCACATCCGAGCAGCCTTAATGGCACCGGATCAGGCATCAATCTTATCATTAACACAGCAGGTTCTCGTAAAGGACACCAAACATTTACACAGATTCACAAATAACAAATGACTGAAAGGTAATTTCATCCAGATTACTAGTCGGAATTCTTTGCTTACTTCTTCCAAGCACTGGGGGACAAGCAAAAGCCAAAAAGCAACAAGAATAAACACGTATAAAAGGACTGTTCCTAAGGCTTCAGTAAGCTGCAATCTGAAAATGTTCATCAGAATGCAGATTAATTTAGCATAAACACAATTACAGAGAAGTCTCTGAAAAGTGCAAGCAGAAGGGAGCACTCAAAAAATATAGTCGACTTTAGAAGAGCTATGTATACAGTGTCTTTGTTAAGTTAGAAAAATAAAAGGTCAGGAACAGCAACTAGTAGGAAATGTCACATTTTTGCAAATGTGCTCTTCAAGTACCAGTCTAATCACAGCAATTTATTAAACTGTTTGGAGTAACTAATGATAAGAGATACAATGCTACACAAAAGGGTTTTTAAATACTTTGTGCTTGTGGAACAGCAACTAAGAACTAAAAACTAGCTAATTAGTTTTGAGGAAGCCAGATATCCGCACCTGCAAGAAGTAAACAGTTCCACCCTTATCTAACTACTTTTTCTTGCAGTTTGAAGCTCAGAAGAATTCTAATTACTGGCACACTAGTACGTACCTTATTAGCTTGGAGCATTTACAAAACGTAATCCCAACGAATGCCATCACATTACAAAAGCACTGGAATAACTCCATAATTAAGATCTTGTCAATATTTCCAATTAGAATACAAAATAAAACTCTAATTTAACAGTTATAATGCTAAATTTGGAGGTAAGCATTTATGCATAAGTACTAAGCACATTTTCCAGAAGACATCATGCAGGAATTTGTCCATGATGGCGTGTTTTCTCTTTCCTTTTAATGCCTTCCTCCTACCTAAACCAACAAATTGAACAAAATGTGCTGCACAGACTGCTGCTTAACATTTAAGTATGGCTGTTCACAGTGTTTTTACTCTTTCCTATACTGCAGCTCCATAAATTTCCTGCCAGTTTAGAAATACAGGAAGGGTAGCACAGCCATGACCCTACCTTTGGCTGCAGCCTTCCTGAGTGCTGACAATCTATCAGAAATAAAACCCTGCAACCTCTGCAGAATTGCATGATACAGAATAACCAATTCCCATCAGGAACTTGCTCCTTAAGTGTAAATAAAGTTTAAACTATAGACGCAAGGAATCTAGTTTTTCCACTTAAATAAAGGTTTCTAATCAGTCCTAGTTCTGTTCCCGCTCTCATGCTGAATAGTTGACAGCACAACAGAAAACAGCAATAGTTTCCTAAATAAAAAAAAAAAGCCACATCTTTTATGAATTATAAATAGTCATCAGAGGCTAAGAGTCTATATGAAAAATTTACTATGGTTTAAAAGAAGCAGCAAGTCCAAAACAGGCTCCTAGACTTGGTCCTATGTGGTTTAAGTCAGAGCAAAAAGATGTTTTCACTTGCAAATACAAGTGCAGCAAGTCTTACCAATATCAGGCTCCACCTACAAGCACAAACACCAAGTCTTTGAAACTGCTAGATTAATTACAAGTGATATAATCAAGACTTCCGAAAGTTAACCTGAGGACAATTCTCTAATTATAATATCTTCTAACCATATCTGCAGACATACTCTTACCTATGTGAAATAAAGAATGCTTTCTCAGTGAAAAGAGAAGACATTGTTCTACTTAGGAAAGCTGTAAGACCTATTCACAACTGCTTCATTTAGTGGCTCTTTTTAAGAACAGAGCCCAAATATTCATGCACTGAGCATTACAGCAAAAGTCCTGTGTTTAGAATGGAGGTGTCCACCGCTGCTAATAGGAAACAAATGTGTATTTCAGTTAACAAAAATCTAAGTATGTATGCTCTACATGCCTACATACACACACATACATATACATGCCATCAACAGTGTTTCCGCTTTGCTTGCTTTTCCTCAACAACATGTGCAGATGTTGCATAAAACTGTATTTATAGCCAATTCTTCTTTATTAAACGTTTCCACCTGCTCCTTCCTGATGCCAACAGTAATAGCTAGGGTCAGTAGAATCCCAGCTTGAACCGTCTTGAAAACGAATAAAAGCAACAGACAGCAGGAGTCGTGACTTCTGCTCAGAAGCAATGACCACTCATCCATTGCTATAACAGACTGCCCATCAAATCAGAGGCAGGTTCTTCTATGAGCTAGACTTCAAAAAAAGAGGATACTGTTTTATCATGTGTAATATATCAGACCATGTGCAAAAGAGTTCCAGATCAGTTTGAAAACTATTCTGAACTTCATTCTGGTAGTAAAATACCACCTGTTGAGAATGACCCCATTGTTTCTCAAAAGAAGATAACTGCAAAACTGCACGTGGAGAAAGAGAACGTGAAATTGAATTGGTCCTCTATCCATTCAGACCCCATTTAATTACTAGTGGTTTTCTCCTTTCACCTCCAAGCTAACAGAACTCTCTCCTCAAAAGCTGGTGTTCTTGTTGGTTTCTCATTTTATGCTGCCATAAGAGAGCTCTTTTAGATAGAGCAAAGCTGTCTCTTCACAGTAAGCTGTAAAAGAAAGCAAGACTTCAAATACAAACTCTTTGCTTAAGCCCATAACAAGGAGTGAACAACTGAGCAATCGTATACAAAGTACACTGTAGCCACAGAACCCCAGGGCAGACAACCATTCCATTTCCCTCCACCGAGCACTATCTGCAACGTTTTTCTCATGGAAATGAAAGTAACCCTGTCAGCAACTGTAAAGTCAGAATTCAGCATTTCCAGGACTTGTACATAACAGGAAACACATTACAGGAACTCTGTTTTACTAAGCTGCTTGATAGACTTAAGAAAAAATCTTAAGAATAAATGATTCACTGCACATACAGGTAATCCTGAATTTAAAGTCTTCCTTTCATAAAGTAGCCAGTAATTTCTGAGCCATCTGTAGCTGTATTTAACTCCCATGTTTCAAATCACATTGTCTAAGTGCAAGCTTTGTCTTCTTTGGACTAAAACCGTTCAATGTTAATGTGTATAACTGTATCAGTGCAAAAAGCTAATGCGCTTTACCATAACACCCTCTTTTTACCTTATGTAAACAAATGTTTCCCAACTATTAATGCCATAAAGCTTTCATTATTAGCTAGATATTTACTACTGGTTAAGCTAGTGTGAGAAGTAAGAAGAGGATGGCTGCAAATGCTGCCTTCGTGGCAATACTGAATAGGTAAGACAATAAAAGGCACATGCGGTACTTATTTATTTAGATCAAGCTTTAGAAACTTGATAAGACAAGATCGGACAAAGTTTAACTTTTTCTGACTAAGCCCAGCAAGAGAATTAACCATTTCTACTTATCCTTTTACAACATCCATTAACAGTGGCTGAGTATGCACAACCATCCTTCAACCTCATTCGCAGCTATAAATGCAACACATTACCACAGCACACCGAAGGAATGGAGCAAAAAGAAAACCATGCTTTTAACTGTAAGTGATTCAAATCATAATCAGCTCATTCCTCTCTCACAGGCAGACTTAAAGACGGGCTTTCTTTTTTGAGTTTAGGTCTCTAATTTACTTCAGATTATCTTGAAATTAAAAGTGGGCAATCTCCAAATTAAGTTTTCAAAACCTAGTTAAATTGTACTATGGTAAACACGAGAGATCGATGACATACATTGAATAAATGCTAAGCAGGAAAAAAAAAAAAAAGACAAGTATGAATAGAATATGAGAAATA